AGGGCCCCCTCGGCCGGCCCCCCATGGGAGCACCTCTCTGCCCCGCCAAAGGTAGGAGGGGCAGGCGAGAGCATCCTTGTCCTGAGCGATCAGGAGTCTCAGAGCAGCAGACCCTGGGCGGGACAGGGCATCCTGCAGGACGGGGATGACAGGATCCAGGCAGCCCCAGCACTCACTCTCGGGAGGTGCTCGACCTCAGTGTCCTCTCCTGCGTGGGGTGGTCTGTCCTGGCCATGGTGGGCACTTCGCAGGGCCCCGGGGCCAGGGCGGGGACAGGGAAGACCCTGGAGCCCTGCGCATCCCTCTGTCCAGAGCTGGGCAGCTCTGCCTTGCACAGCCTGGGGGCTGCGTCTCACCCCCGTGGCTGGCAGTGGCCTGGATGGTTCTAGAGCTTGGCTCCTGCCTCCAGACTGGAGCGGGCCGGGGGCCCGTAGCCTTGCCCTCACACACCTGGGGACCTGGCACGCCGAGCTTCCCTCCCTGGCGGCTGTCGTGAGCCCAGCCAGCAGGGACCGCCTGCTTGGGGCCCTTTACCGCCTCTGGTGTCGCCCATCCACGCCAGCACACATGCTTCCTCCGGCTCTGCACCCCCTCACCCTGAACCCTGCTCTCCTGTCCCTCGGGGGCTCCCTGCTTCCTGGCCTTTGGGGAGCCCCCTGCCAGGTCTCGCCAGTGTTCACGTGTCACTGTCACTGCTCAGCTAGCCTCCCGCGTACTGTGGACTCCTGGGCTTCCCCAGACCGGACAAGGGACACTGGGCCGAGGGCGACTGGTGGTGGCGTGGCCGCAGGGGGTCGGGGCGTGGGGTGGGTGGGACCGGGTTCACCGCTCGGCCATTGCAGGGCCCAGGACACCACCTGCATTGTCTAGAGGCTGCTGGGACCCTGTGGGTGTCTGGGGCTGGGACGCAGTCAGGCCTGGCTGGCTTTTGGCACTGCCCCCCCACCCCCACCCCGCAGGCGTTGAGCAGGCTCAGAGCTAAGTATGGACTCACGTCGTCCCGCCAGTTCCCGACAGGTGATTAGCGTTAGGGGACTTGTGACTCACGTCGCCTCGACCAAGGAAGGCAGACCGAGGCCCAGGCGGCCTGCTCTGCGGGTGCCTCGCGAGCGCCACCTGCCCCATCGGGAACCTCCCGGAGTCCTCCCAGGGGAGGCTGTGGGTGGGAGAGACTGCCTGCCCCCTGGGGACGGCAGAGCCAGAGCCCGGTCCCTGCCCTGGGGGTGCGGGCTAGTGGGGGCAGGGCCAGTTCTGCTGTGGGACCCCGCGGCCCGCCCAGTGGCGCTGACGGGCGTGTGCCTGCTCCCCGCAGAACATGGTGATGAGTTTCCGAGTGTCCGACCTGCAGATGCTCCTGGGCTTCGTGGGCCGGAGTAAGAGCGGGCTGAAGCACGAACTGGTGACCCGCGCGCTGCAGCTGGTGCAGTTCGACTGCAGCCCCGAGCTGTTCAAGAAGATCAAGGAGCTGTACGAGACGCGCTACGCCAAGAAGAGCGCGGAGCCCGCGCC